GTGGGAAAATTCTACTTCTACCAGTCCTTCATCACCTTAAACGAAATTGGGTGAATACATCTTATAATAGAAAGACAAACATTGAAAGATGGCGCCAAAAAGAACACTCTAAACCCCGCGGGTCACGGCTGAGCGGAGCAAGAGAAGGAAAAGAATGTTAGCTACTTGATATACCTTTGCGACGCCAAATAGAGTTGAGATTAGTCACACACTCGCGTGATCTCTGCGACTAACGATGTTGAGCCATGGCTACGTATGGGATGTAACAAAAACTAAACATTGAATGGGAAAAGTATGGAGATAGGTCACTGCATAAGCATCGATACTACATGAAAACGTGCTAGTATGTCTTCCACCTAAATCCTATATTGGTCCACTAAGTTGTCAAATTCATAAAAAATTTAAGCCGAAAATAGCCAAAATTCGGTCATTTTTCTTAATTGTCTGTAAAAAAAATGAGATTTTATGCATACCATTACTTTTATTCGTAGGTATGAAGACCAAGATGGTGTGGCCTTTTGTGTGGTTGCAGTCTCCTTTCATTGTACAGAAGTTGTTTGACCTTGTTTTCGCAACTTATTCATGTTGGTAGGAAGACTTAGAGGAGCGCACCACGTCCGGAGTCCATTGTATGCATCATCATTTCCAAAGTGAGGCCGTGGATGTGGTACATTCCCAGACGTTTCGACGGTATCGTCAGTGAGTCACGCCATTCGTAGCGAAGAGACAAGTTTTGACGAGTTGTAAAATGGTGCTACGAATGGCGAGACCCACTGACGATGCCGGCGAAACGTCTGGGAATGTACCACGTTCACGGTCTCACTTTGGAAATGATGATGCATACAATGGACTCCGGACGTGGTGCGTTCCTCTAAGTCTTCCTACCAACATGACCAAGTTGCGAAAACAAGGTCAAACAACTTCATTACTTTTATTGTTTACAGTCAATCTAAGGGGAAGCCTCTACTTGGGCTCCTTTGGAAGGTCATAAGCCTTTGAATTGTAGAATTCATTTTCCACTTCTCCATTTCCCCACTACCAACGCATGCCTTCGAAGCATCTCTCAGTCTAGGCTCAGGTCCCTCTGTGGGATCTTTCATTGAAGACCTATGTCATCATCAATTTCACATAAATGTACTAGCAACTCCTCGGAATAACTTGACCCAACCATGACTACCATTGATTAACCTTTGTCGGCTTCGCTAACAATTATATTGTTAAGACATAATTATCCAGATAGCCCACTCAAAACACACGATTTTATTGGCGTAACGCGATGTTTAAAGAAGCAAATCTCGCCCACAATCATTGCTGGTCATGATTCTATCTATCAGGTAGGAAGGAGGCGGCCAGTCTCCTTGGCTCTGTGTTAGCTTGAAACTTTTACAAGAATAAGTCCCAACGCTGGCGATGTTCGTCATGTGACGAACGGAAGCTCAGCCCATTTACATCAAACAACGAGGAAGTATGTCCCGTGGACTGCGTCACTCGGAAAGTTGTATTAAAGCCAAACGGCCGTCGTTTTCCGGTGACATTGAATTACAAATCTCTTCCATCATGCACTTTCGCACGAAATGAAAGTCTCCACGACAACCCTCTTGTTGTCTTTTGTTAATGTTTATTACTGCATAAAATCGTCTTTTACAGCATAGTCTAATTTAATGCTCTTCTTGAAAGGAGATTGGAGCACATAAAACGGCATTAGCCAGTGAGTGCTTCGGTTTTTCTGGATCCGACCTTTGACTTACTAAAAAAAAGGTTCTCATGACAGGAAACTCTATTCAAATATTGTGGCATGACTCTCCATTTTGACGGAAAAGTTGGTTGGAAGGAATTCTTGATGTCAGCCGAGGGCTTCTTCGCATAGTTCAACCATCTTCCCCACGTGGCAATCCTCCTTCGGTTTCCGGTGAGACCATATCACGAAATTATCCCAACCAACTTTCCCTTCGAGATAGAGAGTTATGCCACAATATTTAATCAACGAATTCTTCGAGACACAATTTTTTTCAACTCCATCCAAAGTTGATGGTGCTCCTTGAACTTGCAGGCTCGGCCTGGCCTAGTCAACTCCTACATCACAGGCGGGATCCACTTGTGAAGACGACGGCTTCCGGATCAAAAGCCTCGACTTTAGCCAGTTGTTGAGCCGGAAATTGTCATCACTTTAATTCACTCCAACCGCAAAACCCTTGTGGACTGCTTAGCCAACAAGATTCGAACTAAAGACATCCCATACCAAAATCAGTGCAGCCAATCAGAGTCCCTCATTTCCTGCGCCAGCACACTCTGTTCCGATGGTTTGACAAGTCTCGAAAACAAATGTCTAGCACTACATGGGTCGTGCATTTGCCAAAAAGGGTTGGTCTACGTGACAGATGGTCATTTGGGTCAATTGGGTGCATAGCTTTCCAAATAAATTCGTAACTAGTGCTGAAGATGATGGTTGTAAAGTGTCGAAATTGCTCATGTCTCCCTGATTTCCATAAACAAAACCCTATTTTCAATGATGACCCTTTAAAAATGAACAGACTGCGCCTTCTAGAGCTGGCGTCGGCACGATTCCTGAAGAGGTCCTGCAAGAGGCCATCTCCTCGCCCCTCCTGCCGGCCAGTCACGGCCAGTCACAGCCGCAGACGGCGTTGCAGCATTCTTACGCGGACGCCGGTACTTTTGTCGTCGTCGAGGTGGAACTCGACCGAGCCCTGATACCCAGCAGGTCTGCTGAAGCCGTGGAACAGGATGTGACTGCCTACCTCAAGTCCAGAGCTCCGGCAGTCAGTGACAAAGCAAGGAAGCAGGCCAGCTCAGCCAAGGTAGTTCAGTTTCGGCATAACGAGTCTCAGAAACGGTATGACAAGAATCCATAGTCATACGACGTGTATTCACACTATTTCGTTTAAGGGGATGAAGAACTGGTAGGTGAATTTGCCCACAATCTGATGAGTAGCGCTGATGTTTCCGGCCAAGTTTGCATGACATTGCTCTCCCAAAAAGTGTTCTCATTCAGGCAGAAGTGAACTGCCGTCTCGAACTGGTTTCATCAACACCCCCCAGTGGGACTCGAACCAAGTCAGTGCAGCGTGTTATCGTGCCACATTGTCAAGAGTGTCCTTGTTTCGCAGGACGAATGTGAATTTCAAGGAAGGTCAGGCCTTACACCAAATCCCATTCTGTCGTGGAAGTGTCGAATTGCTATCTCAATCGACTGCGCTACTTAGTTTACGTAAATCATTTGAGTGAAACGCTACTCATAACCGAAAAATAAGTAACGTAGTCGATTGTTATAGCAAATATAACTTTGCTTCATCCACGATCCCACCACAGAATGTGATGTGGCAAAAGGCCTGACCCTCCTTGAAATTCACACCTACGTGAGGTCGAAACTGCAGTCCACTTCAGCCGGGATGAGAACGACTTTTGTTAAAGCAGAGCCATGTGAAATTCAATTACAGCGTCGGCTCTACTCACATGATTATCATCTTAAACTGAATTGGGTGAACACATCTCATATATCTGATTTAGTGGTAGCCTTGAATGCGAAAAAACCGCTAGTCAGCCTAAATAGCTTCAGACGATCCAAGAACCGATAGATTAGTAGGTCCACACAACCAGATGAGTAGGCCTCGGGATGTCCTCACACTTCATTTCATCCCGACTGGACTGAACTGGACTCTGCTTTGAACTTCGCCTCAACTAATCTCATCCACACCCTCAATGGGATTCGAGCCCAGGTCGTGAATTTCGTGGCACTGGTACCGATTGGCTACGGGACAGATGAGACATTAAATGCAAGTCAAGCTTCTATCCAATCACGTTTTTATTGCTGGATTGCTACTTAATCAAGCGTATAGTTACTTATTTTTGCCACATGTCGATTTTGAGACTATCAACAATGATTGAGAGTAACTTTTTTGGAAGTAAAATTACATGAAATGCTGTAGAATCCTGACGCATATTTATCTGAGTGTGAAAAAAATTCAACTTGGTTTTAAAGACTACCAGTAGATCGTATATATAAGAAGTATTTATCATATTTCGTTTAAGGTAATGAAGCCATTTGGATCATTTCATTTATGGTAACTATAGGCAGATTAGGTATATAATTGT